TGAACAAGTGGAGGATTGTTGTATATTGTTCAACATCAATAAGAGCCGAGTGTGGAATAAGTAAAACAATTGGGAGCCATTGCATTGATTCACGCGAACACGTGGGCCAATAAGCCATGCGGTTGCATGGCCTATTAAAAGATATGTACCATGCAGTTGCATGGAAGTCACAAAGTGACCATTGGAGGCCCTTTTTTGATTGGTTTTTTGGTGGCTTTTGGAGGGATTTTTGTAACTCTTCATCCTGTTTTGGCACCAATTTGTGGGTTATTAATTGATATCTATAAATAGGTGATAAGGGATCAATACAATAACATTGAAAAATCATATGAGAAACATATTAAAACATATACTTCATTCCACAAAAAGTATCAATCTTCATTTCTTCCGTATTCAAGCAATTCCCTCTTGTGTTCTTCAAGTTCGAGTGGAAAAACATTTATGCTTTAGTATTTTTCTGCAACAAGGCTTGATCAATCCTACGAACCGTTTGCCGTAAAAACACTTGAAGCATCTCGTATAATCTAGAGATGGGACAAATATCTTTCGAGGACAGCAAGATTATTTAATGTTTGAGCCTTCATATTGGTTTTGATCTTCTTGTTCATTTTCATCTTCTTGAATTTCTATTTATTGTTTTCCTCTTCAAACCCCGGTGTTGATAATTTTCCAACACTATTCATATAAAATTTATGCTTATTTAAGAGCAATAACATAATAATATTTTAAAATATATAAAGATAAGAGCATAATGTTTATTTCTCCAGAGAATTAATATTACATTATTCCGAAATATTCTTACATAGGAATAAATAATATGCTTCTTATTGATCAATATATTGACAAAATAATAATCGAGGAGAATAACTAAGAAAATTGCACATGAGACGTTTACCTTTATTGATAAATAAATAAATAAATAAATAGTCAAATTTGGTTCCATTAGCACAATTACGGGTGTTACCAAAGGCAATTGCAAGGTTGTAATTATGCATGAAGTTTGCTCTGCCTACATCCTCTTTACTTATTGGCCAAATACAAAATCTATGCGGTTTTCAATATTAAGTGGTATCATTAGTATAATTGAGAATTATTTCTTTTGGAATACAAAACAATGCACAAATTTATTTAGGAAGAATAAATCTGTGAAAAATATTGACTTATTTTGTTTGTATGATAATTAAAGAATTGTTCTTGTTGGATTTTGATACCCAATAAATTCAAAAGATGATGTTAAAATGATGTTGGATAAGTTATATCGAAACCTTAGCGATGACTCAATTCGAAAACAACTTGGGTCACTTAACTTAATTAAGGTGGAAATTACATATATGCCTGTTTTTAAATATACATTTCATAAATCATATTCTAAGTTTCATGTTTCAAAATTCAGATTATAGTTTATTATTTAATATGTATTTAAAAAATATGTTACTAGTAATTCATCCCATCATCCACACCCCCATCTCATTAAAAAAATTGTGTCCTCTTTCTTTCTCTCCCCCCCCCCCCCCCCCCCCACACTGGAAAACAACCACTATTGGTCGCGCTTCGAATATTAACCACTACACTGTGCAAGATCACCATAGCGTGAAGAACCATTATAGACATGTGCCCTTAGGCAATCGCATGTTGTGTTGCCATTCGTATGACCGTCGCGCATGACGGATTGCTGCATGTAGCACAGTCGCGCACAGGACCACTGTTGTGGTTCCATGAGCCCTTCACCTACGCCGTGGACCCTTTAGATCGCTTATCAAAAACTTAAATCTAAATCCCTAATCGAACAAACCTTGATGAGAAAACCAAAAATCATGAGGAGCCGGTAGTGGTGAAGAAAGATTGGTGGTTTTCTTGGTTTTAATTTGTATTTTCTGGTTTTGAGAAAAAGTGGTTGTGGTTTTCTCAATTTGATGAAGATTGGTGGTTCTTCTTGTGGCTTTGTAGAAAGAGTAACTACGAAGCGAGATGGTAGTGTCCAGTGCTGGGAGCGACATCAATCGACATCATTGCAACTACAGTTGGTGGCGTCTGCAGCAGCGGCATTTGTTGCTGGTGTTGGTGGCAGTGTTGGTGGTAGTGGCGTTGGTGATAGTGGTGTTAGTGTTGTGGCGGTGGCGATGAAGAGGGTTTATAATCAATTATTTGATTGTTGGGACCAATAAATTGGTTAATTTGTGACCAATAAATAATATGTGATCTAAAAGAACATGTGATGGTGACTAAATTTGGAATCATAACTAGAATTTGGAAAGCTGAGACCCATTAATTCAATAATTTTTGATTGAGGAATAACTTGTGACCAATTAATTTGATAATTTGTTATTATAAAATAAGTTATGATTGATAAAATTTGTGATTTGTGATCAATAAATAAATTGTGACCTATAATTTTTTTTGATTTATGACCGATAAATAAATTGTGGCTTATAAAATATTTTAATTTGTGATGGAGAAATAAATTATGGACTATAAAATTTTTGATTTGTGACCGAAAAATAATTCGTGACCTATAAAATTTTTATTCGTGACAGAGAAATAATTTATGACCAATTAATTTGATTTGTGATCGAATAATACACAATTGTGACCTTAATATATTTAATTAATGAAATATATTTTAATTAATTATTTCATAAATAAATTTTAATTATTATATGATTTTTAAGTTTTAAACTTTATTTCTTAGTTTTGAAATGAGTTATACTTGATCTATTAGATTTGGAATTTTTCCTTAATTAAGTTAATGTTGCTCGAGATCCAACATTCATGGATGTCCCAAGTTGTGGTTTTAGATTGGTGATATGTTGGCCCATTTTATGAATTGCCTTGGTTTTGAAGTGTTGGTCAATTTGTTTGAGTCTTGGTCCAATATGGTGACTTAAATGATTTGGCTTTATATCCATTCCCTTACCTCCAATCGTGAGTGTGAGTGAATTGCATAGAGAGAAAGGTCAGGGCTTCCGTCTTGGAGGGAATTGGAATTCAACCATTGTTACCTCTATTCTCTTCCTCCGTCATGAGTGCATTTAATCACTACCAAGTGTCTCCTTTGTGAATTGAAAACTTGTGGCAATCGGAGTGTAGAAGTTATGGGTTAGAGCCTTCTCGGTTGGTGTTTGTTTAGTGAATAAACTGATCTCGATTTCAAGATTTTTTGGACATTTCACCAACAGTGTTGATAACATTTTGTAAAATTAAGAGGAAAAGAAAACGTTGGAAGAAAAGTAATAGAGTCAAAAAGTGTGTATATTATTATAGACTAAATAATCATTAATAATTATCCATAATTTTATAATATATATGAATTTCTTTGAGACAGTTCTTTTCAGTTCACTAGCAATTGGGAAACAATTGGATTACAAGACAAGAGAAACTTGTTTAAAGAGTTTCCTTTTTACGACTAATTTCTTATTTACCCCAATAATATTTTATGTCATCTAATTTACATTCGTCGTTATATAATCCTTCTTATTCGTTTGTCCAACATTTACCCTCCCCAATGTCCATTTCCCCCATTTTTGCTCATGTCTCACTGCTTCATTGTTTGTGGTCTTTTTACTTGAAACTCTCGTAACATCCCAATAAACCCAAAATTTTTTTTTAAAAAAATCGTCTCTAGAATTGCAAAGTAGAAAAATTAAAAATAAACAAGCGACGAGAGCTTGCAAGAGCAAGAGTAGAGAAAATAAATAAAAGGGATAGAATGAGAACGGATGCACACAATGAAGGGAGAAATTTTTTTTTTGATATTATTACAAATATCCGCATCATATAATTACTGAAAATTGTATTTTGGCAAAACAAATATCAAATGATAGTAATTACAAGTTCAAAAATGCATTCTTAAGAAAAATGGAGCTTAAACATGCTCTTCGTATATTTTATAAAAAGTTGATGAACTGTATATTTGAAAAGTTGTGAATCTTATAAAAAAGTAATTACATTCATAATATAAGAGGCTAACAAAAGAGAAGATATTATATTATTATTTTTGGACGGATAGAAAATGAAAAAGAAAAACAAATCCCTTGAACCCTAAACTCATAAACTCCTCATTAAGCTTCCTATTAGAACAGTGATATTTATAATTCACAAATTATATAGCGATTAATTGTTTCTTGATTGCCCATTTGGAATCTTAATTCAATTTGCGTTCTTTCTGTTTCTTTCTCGAGAATTGATCTTGGGTTTAGATGAATTCACTTTCGGAACCTATCAACAGTGTAGTTCACAGCAAGTCAATTGGAGCGGTCTTCTCCGATTTTGTTAGTACTCTGTTTTCGATTTTCTGTTTCCAGCATTTTTCGTTTATGCTAAAGTTGTGATTATTTACTTGAAAGTTTTGTATTAATTTGCAAATTCGTTTCGCGACAAACTGGGAATGTGGGTATTATGTGTAAGCGTGTGTATGTGTAATTTGGTAGAATGGTGTTGGAATGAATCAGTTTAATGTTATGTTGAAATTAAAGTACTCTAGATGATCAGGATTTGGAACGTTGGTTTAACTCTAGATTATATAAATTTCTTGTTCAGCGTGGAAATATAAATTCCATTGATTTTCATAGGACAGTTGATTTATTAGTAACAGTTTGTGACAACGATTTGGTGCGACTTTATGACATCACAAGTGCCAAGAAAGACAGTTAGCTAGACATAAGAACCTGAGCAACCTCGTTGAACCCACATCTCTTTTTCCCTGGAGGATTTTACCTCTAATTACTGTGTATAAAACTTAGGTTGCTGAAAACTACATATCACAAGAAGCATGGAGCTGATAGGATATGTTTTACTCACCACCAGGGTTCTGTCATGTGCTATTCAAGGCACAATTTGGATTCCTATGGAGTTTAGTGGCTTTAGCCTTATATTTATGATTTTGGAACTATGACATCGAAGTTCTGACATTTTTTTCTCTTCGCGATCATTTTGTTGCCAGAAATATTATGGTATGACAATAGGTGTCTTCGCAACTTTACGGGTCACAAAGAGAGGTGAGATCTCATGCCTTACTTGGTTTATCTTCCACTAATTGCTGATATTAGGAGAGCAAGATCGCTCCAATAAGTAATTCTACCCGCATTATTTACTAAGATTGATTTGGAGATTTTTACTTGGATGCATTCATAACAGAGGGAAATCCGTTCATGCATTTTCATCCCATGCAATTTAGTAGAAGAGGATATATTCTTTGAGTTTGCTGGAAATACATTATATACTTGTCTCGCAAAGTCTAGACAAGTTTTATTTTTTAACTATTGGTTCTAGCAATTATTGCTTTTAAACATTACTAGGAGCCCATGCAAATTTCTAACAAACTTTGACAGCAAGTTTAAGGTAGATCATTTAATGGCCTAGTTATTAGTGAATGACAATTGTACTTGTGCTCTTGTTGTTATCATTGTATCTCTAATTATTCTCCATAAATATGGGCTCCGGTTCTTAATAAAATACATAAAAGTCTATTGACTTTTCTATTCTTCTCTCCTTTTCTCTCTATTTTATAATATGTTATCAACACGAAATTTTTTATGTAAAAGCACAAATTAAATTACTCTATTTCTTAACGTGTCTATTCTACATACATATTTATGTATACATGTGAAGTAATCAATTTTTCCTCGATATTTGTTCCTATGAGAATTGACAATTGCTTTTGTATACAATATTTCCATGATGTCAATCAATGCTCCGATCAATTGCACAATATCCAATTAATTGCATTGTTTATTTTTACATTTTTGTTTGATGTGCATTTATGAATGAATTATTAGTCAACATACATATTTGCATAAATTAATTGTGAATGCATATCTGTCTTATTTTTTAGCTTCATGTTTATCGTTTGAGTAATTATCGCATTCTTTTTTAATATGCAATATAATTTATGAATTTGTTACTCTTATGTTTGTCTGTTACAAAATATTATTGCTCATGAAGTAGCTTACTATTATTTACATATATTCTAGATAGATTTCCTTGCTCCCGGAGAAATAATTAAATACAATTTAACGTAAATTATGTTGTACTCCTAAAGAATAAATTCTTATATAATTTATTTTTCTAAATAATGTTATTGGTATTGAAAAGTGTGATATTATTATTTTCAATATTTTAGAAGAATATTTACATATTACTCTCGAACAAACAATAATAAAATACTACATGCTCCCGAAGTAGGACGTTTCAGAAGAATATATCATTTTGAATTAATGTTTATCCTAAAGGAACACATATAGCTCATGTCATGTTGATATTAATTACTTAATTAATTATTATGTGATTATATAATGTTTATTCATATTTTTTGAAATTAATTGTATTTTCTTTTGCTTAATTGTGTAGTTTTTCAAATGGAAAAACATTAAAGAACTTTAGTTTGTTTCATTTGATAAATCTGGTAAAAATTATCTGTCGTAAGTCTTAGATACCGAGGTTTACTTTATCTCAAAGGGTATGAGAGAGATAATAAAAGAAAAAAATTAAGAATTTTTGTAGGATCGTGTAAAAGTACTTATTTTCCTTCGTCACTATGTTCATGATGGATTGAAAATCGAATATGTTGTTGTGAAGGATCCACAGATTCTTTAGAAAAAAATTTATTGAAAAGATTTGACCACCTGAAAACTGTAGTCTTTCTAAAAACCCGTTATGAATAGATGTATCTTCACTTGAAAAATTTTAATTGTTAGTGACTAATTTTAAAGTGTTTAGAAAATGTCCAAAATTGACTTTGTGCAAAGAAAAAATCACTAATAAAATTTTGTTGGATAACTTTTTTCATCTTTCATACTTCGAATGTATTCCTACAACAGCAATATCATGAGTGTGGTTTTAGAAAGTACTGAGAACTCATATTTTGCCTGCTTGTAGCTTAATAAAATAATGAATAGTAGATGAAAAATTTTGGATTATGTCAGTTTGGTTCTATACCATTACTTGAAGTAAATGGTACTGTATTGTCTGAAACAAATGAGATTGTATTATTTGAAGAAAATGCAATATCAAGACAAGGACATGGATGTGTCCACAGACATAGGCGAAAACTATTAGCAACCAGGTAACAATTTCAAAAGCTTAAAGTAAAAGAAAGTAGCATATCTAAAAAAGAGCATAAAAAGTTGCTTTAGATGTGAAATGAAAGGATATTAGGTACGTACTTGTCCTACGGTAAAATATCTTATGGATTTTTACCAAAAATCAATAAGGAAAATGAAAAAGTAAAGACAAAATTAGTATAACTCACTTGGGCGTTTCTAATTGTTTTGTTGACTTAAATGGCAATATTGATCATTTAATCGAAGGTAGTGTGCTCGATAATATTGATTAGTTTATTTTTCATTATCTTAATAGTTTATTTTTATTTAGAATTTATTATCTGATTAGATAATCAATATTTTCATTTGGCTCAACAATAAAATTAAAGACATCCTAGTGAGTCACATCATTTGGATCATTATAATCAGTGAAATTTGTCAACACTTTGCCTTTTATCTTGATTGATTTTTGGTAGAGATTTATAAGATGTTTTGCCATACGAGAGGTACGTGCCCAATGCTTTTTCATTCTATATCTAAAGCAATTTTTAATGCTATTTTTTGGTTATACTACTTTCATTTGCTTAATACATTTTCAAATTGTTGAATTGTTACTGATAGTTTTGTTGATTATTTCCTCTATGATTTTTCTCATGTCTGCGTCCACATCCTCGACTTGATATTGCATTTGCTTCAGGCAATGCAATACCATTTACATTAAGCAATGGTATAGAACTAGTTGGACGTAATGAGCAGATCATTATTTTGTTCAACTGCAAGATATAAGTTATAATTACTTTTTGAAACCCTGCTCACCATTCTGTTAGTATAGGAGAACATTAGAGGTATGAAAGGTGGAAACTTTTTTTTAACATATTTTCATCAATGATTTTTTCATCACAGTCAATTTTATACATATTCTGAACATTTTAAAATTGTAGTTATTAACAGTTTTAAAATCTTGCATGCGAAAATGCATTTATTCATATTGGGCTTTAGGACGGATTACAGTTTTCTAGTTGTCAAATCTTCCAATCAATTTTTTCCAACAAACCTATGGATACTTCATAGTTAGGTATTCGATCCTACAAGAATTCTTGATTTTCTTTTATAATTTCTCCCAAACCTTTGGAGACAAGGTGAATTTTTTAACATCGAGGACTCGTGACATAATTTTTACCAGATATGTTGAGTGCAACAAACTCAAGTTTCGTGATATTTGACATTTGAGTGACTGCATAATCAAGTAAAAAATACAATTAATTTTGAAGGATGTGATTAAACATTGTATAATCACACGATAACTAATCAATATTAGCATGACTTGAACTATATACTTTCTTTCAATAAATATTAATTCAAAATGATATATTCTTCGAAACATATACTAGTTCGGGAGTACGTTGTATTATGCTATTGCTTTTTTAAGAGTAATATACCAATATTCTTTTGAAATATTGAGAATTATAATATCATGCTTTTCAAGAGTAGTAACATATTATTATTTAAAATAATAAAATGTATAAGAATTTACTCTTTAAGTATACAAATATAATTTATGTTAGATTGTATTTAATTATATTCTTTGAGAATAAGTAAAATACAACTAGAATATATGTAAATAATAGTGTGCTGTTTGAGAAACAATAATATTTTATAATAGATAGATATAAGAGTACCAAATTCATAAATTATACTACGTATTAAAAAATAAGAATACGAAATCGAACGATAAACAAGAAAAAAAAGATGTGCATTTACAATTAATTTTTACAGATATATGATGTTAACTAATGGTTCATTCATATATGCACACCAAACGAAAACGTAAAAGTACGTAATTATTAAATACGTGCAATTGATTGGACATCATGGACATCATGCAATTGATTGATATAATGAAAATATTGTATGCAGAAGAAACTATTGATTCCAAAAGAACAAATATCGAGGAAAAGCTGTTGATTTTTTTACATAAACACATATAGAAAAATGAACACGTAAAGAAATAGAGTAATTTAATTCGCGTTTTTACCTAAAAAATTTCAGGTTGATAACGTGTATTAAAATACAGAGAAAAGGAGAGAAGAATGGAGAAGTTAATAGACTTGTGTGTATCTTATTGAGAACTAGAGTCAGAATTAAGGATACAATGGTAATAATAATTGGGTTGCAGATGTATAATTGTTATTTACTAATAATCAGATTATTTACATTCTCTTAGAAATTATTTGATTGGACGTATAGAATAACCAAAAGCAAATCCGTTGAACCTTAAACACATAAACCCCTAATAAAATTCCTATTGGCACAGTGATATTTATAATTCAGGAATACTTTTGTGATTGCCCATTAGGAATCTTAATTCAATTCGTGTTCTTTCTTCTCAAGAATTGATCTTGGATTGAGATGACTTCACTTTCAGAACTCAACAACGATGTAGTTCGCAGCAGATCAATTGGAACCGTCTTCTCGGATTTTGTTAGTCCTCTGCTTTCGACTTTCTGTTTCCTGAATTTTTCCATTATGCTAAAGTTGTGATTATTAACTTGAAAGTTTTGTATTAATTTGCAAATTTGTTTCGCGACAAACTGGGAGTGAGTGTATTACGTGTAAGCGTGTGTATGTTTAATTTGGTAGGACGCTGTTGGAATAAATTTCAGTTGTATGTTATGTTGAAATTGAAGTACACTGGATGATCAGGATTTGGAACGTTTGTTTAGCTCTAGATTTTATCCATCTCTTGTTCAGGGTGGAAAAATTAATTCCGCTGATTTTCATAGGACAGCTTATTTATTAGTAACAGCTAGTGACGACTATTCGGTGTGAGTTTATGACATCAAAGTAAGACCGTTAGCTAGCCATAAGACCCTGTGCAACCTCGTTGAACCCACATCTTTTCCCTGGAGGAATTTACCTTTAATGACTTTGTATAAAACTCAGGTTGCTGAAAACTACATATCACATGCATGAGAGAAGGTTAGCCTGACTGTCTTGTTGAACTTTTCCATCACGTTGCATAAGATCTTGTACAATACACTTGGCCGTTGAAAACGTAGCTTCTGTAATGGGTGTTTCATTGTTGTGGCAATATATGCTAGTTTAAAAAGTTCAACTTTTTCTGTTGCAGAAATGTGGGTTTAGGGTGGATCCGTCACCAGATACAACAATAGAGGCAACATTTACACCTGATGGCCAATATTTGGTTTCTGGTACCACTTCTTTTCCCTTGTCATTAATAATATTAGAGGTAAGACATTAGTGGTAATATTATTTTGGTAGTTGTATGATGATAGTATGCTATTAGATATTTGTAATGACAATAGTTGTGGACTACATCCTTAGGAAAGGTGAGGCAAGTTATGTTCTCAAACATCAAGCCATAATTACAGCAACATCTCCAAAATATAAAATCGACACCTGCCACTTAGGTCTTAGATTTCCAGGGATTTTTTCAGCCTCGTGGCACTCAATTCTGCTGGTATTTGTTTATGACATTGTAATTGAAATTGATTCTTGATTCGGTTCCAGGTTCTGGGGATGGAAATCTGCCTGTGTGGAGAATCGATATGCTAGACAACGTAATCTTCCTGTCCGTGTCCAATATGATCTAATCAAACCATTTGAAGAATGAAGATGGAAGCTTTTGTGATATTGCTCAAGTTCTGTCTACAAAGACAATTTTCTAAGCCTGTTAAACTTCCTGTGACAGCAGTTGTGGGCCCTTCTACTTCATCTGTAAATTTGTAATGCTCCATGTCTTTCGATTTAGCTGAAAGCCAAGTTTCTTATTTTGACATTGGGGTATGATTTACTTTGGTAGTTAGTAATTTTTATAAAGCAAAAAGTAACATATCCAAAAACGTTTGGGAATTAAAGAGTTCTTTAAAAATTAAATTTGACATTTTTCTAAGCTTAGCCAAACATGTGCATGGTAGGCTGGTTGGAAAACCATGATGTTTATAGAATTGTTTCCACATTAATTGTTGTTGCTTGGGATTTGGAAGATATTCGTGTCTCTGAACAAATTCTCTTACCCATTTGTAGGTGGCGTCCTGGGATAGCTACATAGGCGTCGCCTCTTGCCTAAAATGGGCACCTTGTAGGGTCATGTTTGCTGCTGCATCTTCCGTACTCACGTTTTGGATAAAGAACAACAGCAAGACAACCGCTGAACCTGGAGCTTTGAACCCCAAAATGAGAGGTTGGACCGCAAAATTTCTGTAAAATGAAATCTTTATCAGTTTTCTCTCTTCAGTTCGCCTAGGAGTCCCTTTTTGTTGATTTCTTGACTTGATCTCATGATTTTTTTTTGGATTTGAAGTCTTAAAGAATCATTGTTCATACATCAATAGAAATCCCAGCTCTGTACTTAAAATGGTTTAGTTCATATTCCAATGGAGTGTGGCCTCAGATTTGCTGGCAACTTGTGGAGATAATCCTTCTTTAGTGATCAAAGCAAAAATTAGTATCTTTCATGTTTTCATTTAAAATGCCTGCTTTATAGTTCAAATGTTCAATTTAATCAATTGTTGCTACACTTTTTTCTCAAAGTGCGTTCAACTCAATTGTTGATTTCTTCTGTATACTGCTAGTCGATTTCTTTTTACTAATGAATTTTTGTTTTTATGTATATTTCCTAGTCCTGCTTTATTCTTTTGTTCAAGCAACGAAGAAGAGAAGAGTGTATCGGAAAATGGTAAAAGAAAAAGAGAAAAGTTAAAAAGGTTGAGAGAGAGAGAGAGAGAGAGAGAGAGAGAGTGAGAGTGAGAGGTGAAAGTTTTAGCCCCGTTTGGTCCCTATTAATTTTCATTCCATTACATTTTATTTTTTTCTCTCATATTTTTAACCACACAATCTTCCACAAAATAATATTATAAGTAAATCTAAAATTTTTCTTTCTTTTTTAACCGCTCATTTAAAAAAATAAAATTATTCTACCCATTAATATTTTCACAGGGCAAAGAGGAGTTTAGTTCTCGTCCACCGATTTTTAAATTGACCATCAAAATCATCAGTACCCCAAGTAACCAAGCGTGGGATTGATGTCTCGAGCTCGTCAAATCAGTCAGTTGGTAATCAATGTGCAGTGGGTTCACTGGTGGGCCATTGGAAGGGCCCATAAGCTTTGGATAAGGCTGTTAAAGCCTTGAATTTGGGTCTAATTTGACGTACATGTTGAGCTAGCTTAAACAATTTAGCTCTTATAAGTAAAAAGTTTATATATATATAAATTAAACAAATAAAGTAACTTTTTACTTTACGATCAAAATAATTGACTTTTTGTCACAAGATAATGTAGTTAAGTTGAAAGTTTTTGTTGATTAAAGTTAAATAAAAATGAAGTAATTGCAAATACACAAACTAATTAAATTTCATTCTGAAAGAACATATAATTGATTTAATTTATAAATAGACTAAAATGAGTAGTTAATAAGTGGTTGGTATTTGTGAGTTTATTAAAAATGTGTGGTAAAAAATGAAGTTTAATCATTTACATTGTTTGCCAAACAATTGATTAATCTTTAATTGTGAATAGTGAAATGTAACAGTTGTTCAATTAAGTTTTTGATAAAAGTTTCAGAACTTTTTGATAAAAATTGATGTAATGTGAGCTTGGAAAGGTTGTTTTTTTTTTTTTCATGAAACGTGTAGTTAAAATTGAAGTTTGACAAGCTAAAAAGTTTGGACGATTTTTATAATTGAAAACAATTTTATAGTATGAACGTACATGACCTCCTTTTCCATGTCTTGCAATTATAATTCCTCTTGCATTATGACCTTTAATACAATGACTTTTACAAATTGAATTTCACTCGACTCTCTACGATCCTTGTATGTGCTCAAGAGGAAGTTTTGTATAAATATACAAATAGCGTATGTTTTGATTTACTTTAGTTTTTTTAAAAAGGAATTAAATACAATAATTCGATTGAAGCATAATGATAATATTTTTGGTTCATTCTTCTATTCTTCTTTGAAAAATGGATGATGCTATCACGTTCTTTTAAGTCATACGAACTAATAGGTTTTTTGTCATATCTCCAAGGTTAGAATGTGTGAAGTTACAATCAAAATCTATTCAAAATATAACATATAAATCTTTGAGTCGATTGACCTAAAATAAAAAAAAAAAAAAAGCACTTGATCTATTTTGAATAAATCGACTATAATAAGTCTAGCTCTTCAAATAGACACGATTGTACAAGAATAAAATCCTGTGTACAGGGCTTCATTTCATAGGGACCTTATATACCTCTTTCATGGATTGGCCCCATGCAGCCCCTGAGGCAATAAAAAATGATAAAAATAAATATCTCGACCTTACCCCACGTAAAACCCTAGAAGGGGTCTGTAAGGAATTGGGCATGTACGCCCAGCTCGATCGATCATGGAAAGAAATGTATGAGTACATGTTAGATACTGTGCAAAAAGTTCGTCATTCCCTAAGGCTTTTTAGGGCATCAAATCAGTCATATCACCTATTTAACAAAGATTTCATGTTTGGATTTGTAGGGGGCCTTTTATTCAGCTGAACCTGGCAGGGGATTTTTGGGCGGTTAGGAGGGTCCATTCATTGATGGGACACATTCTTGAATTGGCAGACCTTATGGGCCCAATAACAAATGAATTGTTCAATCAAGTCTTGTCGTGGACTCCACTTTTTAAACCACCAATTTTTATTTATTTAAATACTTTATTTATTTAGCTGATTTTTTGGGATATGCTCATTTAATTTGCTTAAGAAAACTTACTTTTGAAACGCTTTAATCAACATCCAATTTACTTTTTATTTAGGCTCCGTTTGGTAATTTTTTTTCAAAATGCATTTTCTCTCTTTTTTTTAATCACACATTTTTCATTAAAATAATATTATACGTAAATCAAAAACTTTTCTTTATTTTTCAACCACACATTTTCCATTAATTTACTATTTCAAAATATATTCTTATATAAAAATGACTCCCAAACACCCTCTTATACATTTAAGGCCTGTTTGATACCTTAATATTTCATGGTAATTGTCCATTCCAAATGTGTTATTTGATGATCAAAATTTTTCACGGAATTGCTTTTCTAGACTAACACCCCCCACCCCCCCTTACGTGACCCATTTTCTAGCTTTTTAAGCAAAATCAATTCCGTGGGAATTGGGTTTTCCACCTTTTTTTTTTGGGCTGCAATGGAAACAAATTTCTATCTACAATTGTAACAAAGTTTATCTATTTGATTGACAGTTTTCATAAAAACAAAGCCAAACGAAAATCAAAAGATTTAAAATTTCAACATTTTTCGGTAAAAAATTATATCAATCAAACACGTTTAATTAACAATTTCCAATAAAATAAGTTCTAGACAATTCAATTTCTTGAAATTTGTTTTCTTTCCACTCAAATTCTATTCTTGCAATCAAACGGACCCTTAAATATTTTCATAAGTACTATTCATTTATTTACCATTCATTTTTATCTAATTATAACTTCACTTATTCATAAACGCATCTCAAATATATTTTGAATTCTACTTTTAGATGTAGATTCACAAGATTAAACTATTTTTGATCCCATCTTATTCCAATATAATTTAAGTGATTATACTTTTCACATAATTTGTGTTATGATCTTTTGATACTCAATTTAATTGGGCATTAGACAATATTACATGAAGTATAACTCGAGAAATTATGTTTTTAGTATTGTCACGGGTAATATACGTACGTAATGATTACTCAATTTGTTTTGAACGTTGAAGACTTGCCAAACTCAATTATATATAGAAGATACAAACATGCAGTGCTCAAACATGCCAAGGTTATCTAAGTCATTTTGCCCTTGTTTGGGCTCCATTTTGACCGGACAAAAGAAAGAGTTTTTCCAAAACTCATTTGGACCACATTTTTCATCAAATAATGTTATGTTAAATACAAACTTTTTTTTCTTATTTTTTAATCATACATTCTTTAAAAAACTATTATGTTAAAATATAATTTTCCTTAAAATCTCATTTTAATGGAACTCGAACTGATATTTTATGATATGTTAAGTGTTAATGAACTCTAAATACAAACCATAATTTATATATTCTCTTTCATGCATTTTCTTCTCTTTTTACATTAACCAAGTCTGAGTGTGATTTTCTTTAGTGAAAAAAAAAGACAGACAACATATTTTGATGTCTAGTGTATTGAGCATCAATCTACTGTTGGTAAATTTAATTAGTAGTGTATGGAGTGAAATTAGGTTCTCATATACCGTATATGTGATTTAGACACTGAATTCACGCTTACCGTATTTGACAATTGTTTACCGTATTTGGCAGTTCAATTCACCTTATATGACAGCTTACCGTATATGTCAGACAACTCACCGTATTTGGCAGCTTACCGTATATTCCAGACAGCTCACCATATTTGACAGCTTACCGTATATGTCAAGCAGCTCACCGTATTTGACAGTGACATAACAATAGAATTTGCAGAAACTTTATGATAACTTAAACAACACAGATTTTGGACAAATTGTTTGTTTTCATAAAATAATTTAAATAACATAGAATTTGAATTTCCATAAACACGATTTCATATCCCGGTTCGTATATACAAAATATTATCTAAATTGTGATAATTAAAACGAATTAAACTACTTGAATAAGTATAGTAATTATATTATTTGCAGAAACACAAACGTAATATAAATTTCAAAAAATAGAGATTTAAACTGAAAGTTAAATAAATCTGGAAAGCATGTAAATCTGCATATAAAGAAATGCACAGAGATTTAAACTGGAAAGCATATAAATTTAAATATAGACTTTTAACCCGAGGTTTGTGTGATCACAATTTCCTTAAAATAGATTCGTCCCCTCACCGTAAGTGCTTGAGGTCTAGTCCGAGCGTCTGTTTTTCAGGATACAACGGCAAAACCAACAAAATCTGAGCACTACAGAAACTACTCCGACGAACCGAGTTAGCGTCTGAACAATATCACCACCACGATGACTTCACTGGACAAAACGAAGACGACGACAAAATTTGAGAATTTTTTTGTGCAGAGAGAATTTTGTATGTTTTTTTTTCATTTATTTAATTGCTAGAAAACTTGAGATTTAATATAGCATAAATCTGTCATTAACTCTATGACAATTAATATTGGAGTCACTTCAATTTTTAGGAGGTTTGGAAGTTTCAGAAACTCAAAAGTCAGTGGAAAAAAGCAAGGAAAAAATTGCAAAATGTGGGCTCTCAAAAGGGGCCAATTTTTGCTCTGTTCGGTCCGACATTTGTGTACGCAGGTTGCGCCCGCACACAAGTTTAAGGTTTGAAGGCAATTTTGGTCCGAGATTTGTACCCTACCTGTGCGCACACGTGGAGAGAGCCTCTATGCTACACATGATTACACCATTCTAAAGTGTAATTCTATATAAAGTGGTTCTTGCTTTCATGTTTTTCCTATGTGGGACTAACTTCAATTTTT